AAAAAAAAAAAAAAAAAAAAAAAAAAAGGTAGTGGTGGTTTAAAGGGCAGGCTATCTCAGTTGGTACACCCGTGAACTGTTGAAAAACACCTGAGTTCGGACTCCACTGGGAGAAGATGAGTAAAATACTACAATTCTGAATTACCTAACCCCCCACCTTGTGCCTTCGTTTCTCCTATGCCACTCAACGACCTGCTTTCACGAACGTGCCCTGAACACCCCGCCGCCTCTCTTCAATCACACCCTGCCGCCTCTCTTCATTCGCGACCTCCGTTCCTTCCTGCAACACCTCGCCCGCCTTTCAAAACCTTCCACCATAGTCGTTTCTACCTGTGTGTAGACGCACATCTGCATAGACGCATTCAGCAGCGTTGTTTCCGCCTGTGTGTAGATGGGGACCAGCCGCTTCTCTTTCTCGATCTTTTGTTTCGAGAACCGTGTCGACCATGATGTGTGTGTAGATCACTTTGTGAAAGAAATGAAGAATAGAGCAGACAGCATAAGGAAACACAAAACCATTCTTCAATTTCTTTTGGCCTTTTTTGTGCATTTCTTTCTTGTACTTGGGCCTCGCCACATGTGAGGCGAAACGAGATGAAAACAAAACGAAGTTTGTTACTCCTCAAGAACCCAAAAGAACGCACTTCGTTTCGTTTTCGACATCTCCGCCACACAGTTAAAGCGAGCAAGGTTTTTCACGAGTTCCCAGGATAGTTCGGACGAGTAGAGACAACATCTGCTGTCCAGACCGGCTTGGACTTGTGCGTGGGAGCGTTTTGAACACATTCACAGGAGTTGTGAATTTCAGTGCTTCTTCGGAGGGATCTTGAAGGACCCATGGAACCCCACAGCCTGCAACATTTCTAATACGTGTTCGCCACAAAGGCAGTTGTCTGACACCTCACGACTCCATGTCCATGAAGGAAAGTTGTGAGGCTGTGTGGCGGTGATGAAACGAAACGAGCTGCAATTTTCATTTTGTTCCCTACACCGTGTGGCAAGGTACTTTCTTTTGCCTTTTTGTGAGAAATCTTTTTTTTTTTTTTCCTTTTTCTTTTGCCTTTCTGATAGTATTTTTCTGTAGCATCCTCTTTTTTTTTTTTTTTTTTTTTTTTTTTTTTTTTAAACAGGTCCTTATGGTCCTGGCTCCATATCCATTCTGGGGAGCGTCAGTCCGGTTCCTCTCCACCGGCAAGTCAAAAGTTGGAATACATGGTGAACACTCTCACGCTTCCTTCCGTCTGGCCGAAGGAACCCTGACCAGCATTGATTACTCCATATCTGGAGGATTGACTGTCAGCTTGCCCTTCCACTTTTCCTCTCAGACTCTATTTGGACTCTGTCAGATGATTCGTATAAATCAAGAAAAGAGGAGAGTCGTCTATACTGTTGAGATTATCATCTCAGTTGCCCCTCACTGGGTCCCCGTTCTTGTAGGAGTTGTGCTGTGCCATTTCTTCCAGATCAATCTGTTATTTGTCACCGTTGCAATCTTTCCCTGTAAAAGCCATTTTCTCATGAAGACCCGTCTCTTGATGGCTATCCTTTCTGGTCTGCCTTTCGTTGTTGATGTCACCTCCCTCCATCTGGATCGAATCTCAGTTTCCGCCATTCTCAGCATTAGAACCCACATTTCTTCTCTTGCCACCTCGGTTCTCTCGTAGTCTTGGTGCATCTCCTTTTCCAGATTACCCACAGAGCTAGTTTCCTGAGCATGTGTAACCAGACTGCTTTTCCTCCTCTGAGACCGTCGCGGATGTTAGAAAGAAGTAGGATGTTCTGGGGGGTGAGGTTGGGGGGAGAGGATGAGAAGAGATGGTGCCATAGGTTTCGGACTTTGTTCCATATCCAGGCTGCCTGGCTGCAGTATAGGAGGCAGTGGGGGATGTCTTCAGGGGTGCTGTCATCGCACATTGCGCATAGTTCCGAGCTGTTGGGGTCTGAGTGTTTTCTTCTTTTGTGGAGCCACTGATTGACAGGGAGTGCTGCGTGGGCTAGGAGCCATTGTAAGCTTCGGATTCTAGCTGGTTTTATGGGGAGGTATTTTGGCCAGGGGATGGTGATTGAGGCTGTTGGCTCTAGGTTTAGTGTCTCTCTCCATCTGTTTTCGAGTTTGGGGTTGGGGTCCGTGGTCCGTAGGCCTAGATTGTACCCGAATTTCACATTGTATTCCAGTATCGTTCTGGTTTTTCCGGATTTGCCTTCTTTCCATACCCATTCCTTAAAATCGAATTCGAGCTCCGCAATGCTGAGGTCGGGCTGGAAGATTATCCATGGTTTGGTTTTCGACACCCTCACTTTTCTCAGCAGAAAGGCCTCTACCGTCTCCAGCTGCGGTTCTCTGTTCAGAATGGTTAGTTCCTGGAGGTTATGGGTGGCGATGGGATAAGAGTAGAATTTGGACCGGTAGCCRGTGGTTGAGCTGCGGGACACGAACCGGTATGCTCTGTTCGGYGGGGTTTGGRATACGAGTATGCCCCAGTCCCCTGGTTTCCAGGAGAAGTCTTCTTTCAAGAGGCGAATCCAGTGGGGTGGGATGCTTTTCTGGACTGTGCGTAGGTTTTCTGCGAGAGCATGGCAGCCTCTTAGAGTGTTCCGGAGTGCTTGTTCCGTATGCCATTCTCCCCGTTCTTCTGCCCACAGGTGTTTAACCTGCCACACCCCTTTTTCAACCAGGTCTATGGATACGAAGGTCATGGCCTGCCCTGTGCATCAGAATCTGTTGCCCAATAGCACATTGGAGAGGATCTGGCGGCCTTCTACGGAGCCTGTCTGGGTACAATCGATGATGTGAGGCAGTGCTTGCTTCAGTCGGACGGCCAGCAACGTAGTGAGGATCTTATACAGCGCGCTCAGAATAGATATCGGACGCCAGTTGCGCACATCCTCTTCCGCCCCCTTCTTGTAGAGCAGAACGATGTATGTGTCTGCAAAGCCCTGCGGGAAGGAGCCATGCCTCAGTGCCTCAGTGTATGCTGTTGTCAGCAGGGTCACGAAAAAGCAGCGAAAATCCTTATACATCTCCACTGGCATCCCATCCAGCCCGGGCGTTTTGAGGCGGGGGCGCTCTGCAATTGATGTCTCCAACTCGTCTACTCTGAGATTGTCCTCCATCCCGCATGTATTTTCCAAATCCAGTCGATTCCGAACGTGCTTCCAAAGTTCGTGCTCCGTTCCACTCGCCATTTCCTCCAGTGACCAATTCTCTTCTTCCGTTAATAGTTGCCAGTAGAAATCCGTCACATACTTCAAGATGCCTCGTGTGGTGCGCTGCTTTTCCCGATTCTCATCGGACAGGTGATTCATTGCTGTCATCAAGGGTGCCGCCTTACGCTTGGCTATTGTGGCAAAACAACTCCGCGACATACGCTTAACCACCAAGATCCACGACTCCTTGGTACGCCTCCCCATTTAACTGCTTCCTCCCTCTTCCATTCCCTCCAGTTTCGAGCTGCCTCTAGTCTCTCCACGTGCCATTCATCTTCCGTTTGCTCCCCATCAGGGCCTTTATTCAACTCTTCTAGCCTACTAACATACTCCTCCCCCCTCCTTTGGTGAGCCAAGTAACTGCACCGCAACCGTGTTGCCAAGGAGTCGTGGATCTTGAGTCGCTGCCACCACATGGTCCAACACATTATCCTGTGGGCATTCTTTCGTCCAGTCTTCCCAAAACTGGGCCACCATGGGTCGAATCTCTGTGCTTTTGAACACCCATGCCAGTATCGCTTTCGGTGGGTGGCCCATCTCTAGCCTGCCCACCGGGAAGCTTGCCAATACTGCTGAGTGGTCCGATGTGGCCACTGGCTTGATCTGCACTCGCTCTAATATTAAGGCCTTCCGAAGCCCAAATCATGTCGATTCTACTCCTCCTGGTCACTGTATTCCCCCAGAAGGTGTAGGCCTTTTCTTGCAGATAGTGTTCGAAATGAGTCTGTGCAGCCCAGGCTAGTCATTCCGCTGGTGAGCTGGGTCAGCAGCATCAAGACTCGGATCGACGATAGAGTTGAAGTCGCCTGCTATAATAAATTTGTCAACCTCTGGCACCACGGTCTGTAGGCTTTCCCACATCCTGCGGCCCATTCCAACTTCCGGCGGGCCATACACTGTCACCACTCCCCAGATTTCCTCCTCCCACTGCAATATCACCCATGCCCACCTACCCCTTGAATCATAATACCTATCCATCACTTCCCCCCTAAACTGGGGGGATACCTCTGTGCATTTTGTGCTTTTGTATACATGTCCAATCCTGTGTGTATGCGACGTGTGTATGCATGGAATCTTGCATGTGTATCCCATAGTTCCCATTAGGAAAAAGTGGAACCTTGCCATTGGAGCACAGCTGCTGCACAGTTTTGCGTATCTTCAGGTGGCTGCCTCTCTCACCGACACATGGAAAGTTACCCCTACCAGTAGTCACAATGAGCTTCATGTTTGGCCCTTGAGTAAAGGCAAAAGAAAGTTTTTCCTATCCACGATGAGTTTTCACTTTGGTATTTCAATCTTCAAGCACTTCCATGTGAGTAAAAAAGGAGTCAGTGTGAGGAGTTTATACTCAATCAATGAAAGCAAAGAAAGAAGGAAAAAAGGAGTCCATGTGAGGAGTTTTTTATTTTTTTTATTTTTTTTTATTTTAATAAGAAGTTAAGAACACATCATGTGAGGAGTTTAGGCTCAAGCAACCAATGGTTTAGAAGTCTAGAACCATTGATACCTTTCATCGAAATGAAGTAGAGTTTGAGCTCTCAACCTGTTTACCAACAGCTACATGTGTGTTACCATTCCGCCGGATGTACCAGGTAATCATCTGGTTACCTCGTTTGAACCGTTGGTGAGTATCAGCTGACACAACCTTGAGTGTAAAATGCACACAAAGACGTCGGCAAACTGATAGAGAAAGGGTGGTACACATGTTCTATTGACCGTGTGGGCCGACCGACCTGGAAGCACAAGTGGTTAACGAGGACCACCACTTTTCACCCCTCGGGTAATGGGTCCAAAACTGAAATTAGGGTTTGGGGGTGACTTTTTTTTTTGCCTGTTTTTGTTAAGTTGTGAAACTTGTAGTTCATCTGAGAGCCAGCTGGCACAAGCCTGACCGTGTGAAACCTGTGCCTTCGCCGGCTTGATTGAGGCTTTTGCACGATCTGGAAGGTCTGCTAACGCCTTCCCACTTCCTCTCAGTCGTCCTCAGCATACCTGGACAGGCAGCTGCAATCACAGTAACAAAAAGAAAAGAGTGTCGTTTGCACGTTCACGGAGACTTCACAAGCAGGAGGAATATAAAGAACAGAGTGCTGTTCCAAGTACCAACTCGCTTTCCAACAGACTTACCAGTCCATCCCTGCACACCCAACGTAAGCCTCTGCTCCTCCGCAAGATGCTGCATTTCTGGAATTAGCAGTTCGTCTCTCTCCGCTCCCTCTACATCTCCACAGTCCACGTGATATGCGTTACCCGTTTCCCACTTCTCCTCTAACAATCTCTCTCCACTCTTGCACTGAGCATTCTGCAGTCCACATGTGTCATCTTCCCCGCAACAGGGACGCAGTTGGTTCTCCACCTGACACCCTTGCCAGGGGACTGACGATGTTTGCTCCGAACTGTGTCTCTGATCAGTCTCACTTATTAGATCCTCAACCCAGTCTTCAACGGGTTCACATTCTTCTCCGCCAGGTGGAAAGCTCAGGCCTAGTTGCCGATACACCTCCTCCTCCTGCATATCTGGTTGCGAGCAGTGCGAAGTATCGACCTGCCCTCGCCCATTTACCATTGGACCTAGATAATGACTCTGCCAACTCTGCTCCATATTGTCGGTGCCTGCAGAGAGCTGAGCACCAGGAAGTCTGTCGAATTCAAAATCCTCTGGGACAAACAAGTCAGCTGTAGATCCAGACTGCAACTTTCGGCTGCAAGCCTCGCTAGTCAACGGTGTCCCCAAACCCAGTTGAATTGAAGTGTTTTCGAGCTCAGACGTCAGTGAGTCGACTGTCATCTGCTGAGAAGTCACGGCATCAGGGTCCTCCGTCGATGGAATGCCACCGTCGCTAGTCACTGGTAAGACGCTCTGAGCCTGGACACCCGTACCATCACCAAAACCCAGAACTGCGTCTTCGATCTCGTAGGCTTCTCCATCGGAGTCCAAATCTGAAAAATCAAACTCTTCCTCAACAACATCCTGCTCGTTAACAGCTCCCTGTGGTGGCGTTACTGGTGAAGCACCCCGCTGTATATTGTGATCTTCTCGTTCAGATCTAATAATCTCTGGTTCTCCCTCTGTAGGTTTCCCTTGCACTTTTGTAGAAGGCAGCTGTTGAGCCCCAGGGCAGTTCCTCCTGTAACTTTCCTCCAAGGAAGGAATTGAGGACTCTTTCATAGGGGTTCCCCGGGATTTCAATGCAGCCTGAAATGAGCATGAATCCAGGGGGTAGATTCACAGATGTACATGCATCCACACACACACACACACACACACACACATATGTGGCAGAAAAAGTCAATCCAATCTCAGTCAGACTCAATGTATATTGTTTTGGTCAGATGATGGGATCCAGACCCTAGATAGACTATCGGGGTCCCTGTGGTGTTTTTTCCCAACTTCCTTTCCATGACGAGCCCCTGCGATATCCAATGCATAGCTGCATAAGGCCAGCAAGCTCAGAAGGAAAAACGTCGAGATGGAGAGCGGAACCCTTTCCTCCCTCCCTCCCTCCCTCCCTCCCTCCCTCCCAAAAAAAGAAATAAAAGACAAATTTTGAGGGGAAAAAACAAAGAGGGCATGGTAAAGCTTAACAAGATCATGCCTGCTGTGGGAGGGAGAAGGAGGAGGAGGAGGAGGAGGAGGAGGAGGAGGAGGAGGAGGAGGAGGAGAGGAAGAAGAAGAGGAAGCAGAAGAAGACGAGGAAGAGGAAGAGGAAGAAGAAGAGGAAGAGGAAGAGGAAGAGGAAGAAGAAGAGGAAGAGGAAGAAGAGGAAGGAGGAGAAGGAGAGGAAGAGGAAGAGGAAGAGGAAGAAGAGGAAGATGAAGATGAAGATGAAGAGGAAGAGGAAGAGGAAGAGGAAGAGGAAGAGGCAGAGGAAGAGGAAGAGAAAGAAGAAGAAGGAGAAGAAGAGGAAGAGAGGAAGAGGAGGAGGAGGAGGAGGAAGAGGAGGAGGAAGAAGAAGAAGAAGAAGAAGAAGAAGAAGAAGAAGAAGAAGAAGAAGAGGAGGAGGAGCAAACAGAGAACTTGCCAGGACCATAAGGACCTTCTTCTTCTTCCTCTATTTCACCTTCTTCCTCTTCCTTCTCTTCCACTTCTTTTTCTTCTTCTTCCTCCTCCTCTTCCTCCTCTTCCTCCTCTTCCTCCTCTTCCTCCTCTTCCTCCTCTTCCTCCTCCTCCTCCTCCTCCCTCTCCCCCCCTTCTTTTTCTTCTTCTTCTTCTTCTTCTTCTTCTTCTTCTTCTTCTTCTTCTTGTCACTGTCATTGTTGTTCTTGTTGTCTTGAATACGAAAAAACATTATATGCTATAGCAGCTGTGGCCATGTTTTTCATTTAATGTACAATCTGTAATGAACCTCTCAAATCCACACTGAAGCTCAACGTGCACACGGAGAACACTCACATGAGAGCTCACAACAGAAGCCGAGAGACAAAACCCAAAACAGTGCACCAAAGGGCTGAAACAGTTATTATACTATATACAACGGAAGTGTTAGAGTAACTGGGGGCTTCAGCCGCACACCACAACAACACTCTGATCCAGGTATCTACTAGACTTCTCTCTCGACTTCTCTCTCTCTCTCTCTCTCTCTCTCTCTCTCTCTCTCTCTCTCTCTCCCCTAGCTTGTATCGCTCAACCTCGTTGACCCTTCGCAATTCGATCACTCGCCTCACCACTCTCTCTCACCCTACTCCATTTGGATCACACCCTGAATACACCCGCGTCATTCCACCCTTGACCTCACGGCTATGACCGCCTTCTTCCTCAACCTCCTAACCCGAGCTATGGTAACCAGACGCTTCTTCCCCAATGGGCACTCAATCCTCCTCCACCGCCCACCTTCCATCCATGTCACACTATCGCACAAGCAACCAGCAGCCCTTCCGCAACTTGTTCATGAAAAGACGAGCCTGCTTGTTGATGCTGCTGGGCTTTTATAGTTGCTGATCCGCCTTCCAGACATCCTCCGTTGGTTATGGGTTTGTACCCTTCCCTTTGTTTCCTGCTTTTGGAAGCTCATGGACTCTTCTTGGATTTGGCTGCTTGCATGGATCAACGGACACCTCGCCTAACGGCTCTGGTGATCCTGGCTGAAGTTTGTGGTGCCTTCTAAAGACACTCTTCAACCCATAATTGTTATCTACCAGGGACTTCCTACCACAATCTACTTAACAAACCCGCCTAGGCCTCTGCAGTCATGGTACAAAAGAAAACATCTCTTCTAGAGTATGCATGAACATTGTAGAAGTGGCTGGAACCAGTAATGGGACACGGAATGTGACTTGGGATGTGGACCTGGGACTCAGGACTCCAGACTGCGACCCAGGACCGTGACCCATGATTTGGGAACAGGACCTGCGAATCTGGGACCCGAACTGGGGCCCGAACTGGGACACATGCAGCGTGAAATCCTTTCAAATCTATGCAGCATCTCTCCCATCGAAGTCCACATGGTCAAGCCTTCCTGCATCTCTGCCAAAAGTATGGTCTTGTGAGATGTAGAACAGCTTGACCGCACGACTTCAACCATTATAGCTAGAGTCAAAAAGGATGTCTTTGACCGTTTGACGGCATGGCTATGAAAAAAAAAGATTGGAAGGCTTGACCGGCTCGCATGGCTGAAAGCATGAACTTGTGTGATGAAGGGAGGCTGGAACTCCAAGTCTTCACAAAAAAACGAGTTCGCTTAGAACTCGGAAGTAAGGCTTCTCAAGCCTCACCCATCAGGAAACTGTTAAGTACACTGCGAGAACAGGGATTTTTGAAAGGGGACTTTATAGTAAACACCATGGTTGCATCCCTGCCGACCGCCGACCCCGACCGCCGACCGTATTGCAGCCAACCAACATCCACTATTTTTTTTTCAGATCTGAGTTGGAAGCTGTACTGCGCTTGCGGAGTACAGCCCAAATCCGCTGAGAAATTTTTGGGCATGGGGGCGTTGGGGGAGGGGTGTATAGGGGGGTATAGGGG